TCAGTACTATATAGAGACAGTCGGTTTGGTGTGTCAACTGGGATAGAATCAATATCAAGGATAAGATGCTCTGGCAATGGCCTCAGATACTGTAGCTTCACTCAAGGAAATTATTATAGTAGTTGCTCAACCTGTCCTGCCTCCCTTGGTCTTAAATGCTACTGTAAGTTATTAACTTGATTTCTACCTATACTACATTGTACATTAATGCAATAAAAAAGTATTAATGTTTTTTTACTCACTTTACATAATATATTGTCTACAAATTATTGCTGGCTATATCACTTACATAAAATTTCATGTTATTACAGACAGGACAGATTGCAATGAGGGAGAGATAAGGCTAGTCAATGGTACAATAGACAGGGAAGGTCGTTTAGAAATATGCACTAATGGAGTGTGGGGTGACTTCTGTGCTAACAGCTTCAGGAAATCTGCAGCTCATGTAGCCTGTAAACAAGCTGGATATGGAGATGTTAAGGGTGAGTGAATGAGTGGACATATGAAAATTATTATCTCATTTGTATAGGAGCTATTATTTACACCAATGGTGAGTTTGGAGTTGGGGATGGTCCAGTAATCTATGGGAATGTTGAGTGCTTTGGTCATGAGAACTACATTGCTGACTGCTCAAAAGTTGTGGCACCAAATTTAAATTGCTACTCTAATGCTGGAGTTGGTCTCCTCTGTCGTGACAGTGAGTTTAACATGATGGTGTGATGTATTTTTAATTATTATGCCAGATTGCAGTGAAGGGTCTATACGACTTACAGGCGGAAAGCATTCCTATGAAGGATATGTAGAAGTTTGCGTTGATGGAGTGTGGACTCTTGTTTCTGCTAATGGTTGGGATGATGCTGATGCTAGAGTAGTATGCAAGCAACTCAAAGCCTATGGCACATCTGGTGAGTCTAACTACACCTCACTATAATGATTCTAGTTTTATATTTGCATATAGCTGGGGAAACAGTTGATAATTCGCCTTATACAAGGTCCAACAAAGCCACAAGGTTCTCTAACGTTTATTGTATTGGAAATGAAGACATGTTGGAGGACTGCAGGCATCACACAATTGAGCTGGATGATGGAAAAAGTTATAATGGACCAGTAGCTGCTGTTGACTGCAAAGGTATGTATAGTTGTGCATAATAATGGTATTTTTATATGTTAAACAGTGACTATCTCAATTACAAACACTGCAACATTACCAACACAAACATCAACACCACAAAC